TCACAGTGGGAAAATTTTGCTTTCATTTTAGTCGTGTACTTGGCGGCGTAGTTGATTGCGTCATTGTCAACCCCAGCGCGCGCATGGCGCTTAAACCTGCCTTGCGTGATGCGCAGAACGTGTGCGCAGTAACAAAAGTAGGCATCGTCCTTCAAACAAATTTTGGCTTTCATTGTTTTAATTCATGATTTTCCACCTACAAGTTCCTTTAGCTCAGTAAGATTGCAAGCAAAATAAACCAACGGGAATTTAACAAGTGCAAACCTAAGGGGGGTGGGGTGGATAAAGCAGGAGTTCATTAAAGGCCAGTCACCGGACAAATTGACTGGCTGTGGGGATTTTGTCCACCTGGTTTGACCATCTAGAGGAAATATTTTCTTATAAAGAAGTTCAGTTCCGAAAGTTTTGCCTGCCTGTGAAAACCAGCTGCCCTCCTGCCGAAAACGTTTATAAAACCCCTGGTAAAGAGAAATATTCCTCCACTCCACACTAGCTCTCCTGTACTCGCTTCACTCCCACTCTCGCACAACTGTGATGAAACAACAACTGGGAACAGTCTGGTACAAAGTGGTCCTCCAGCCGGCACCTTACCTGCCAAATCTCACCAATCAGGAAGCCAATGCCCACTTTAGCTGATTCCTGGATTGTAGGATAGCTGAATGTACCATACCACCTGACTAGCACCTCCTGGACGATACGGGTCATGAGGTCTTGAGAAATCGTTGATGGAATTGGAAAGCTGTGACACATGTGAGTGAACAGACAATCTGCAATGTGAACCAAGCCTTCTGATGCTGAGGGGAAGAAAAAACAAACAATTGCCTGAATGTCCAAGATCTAAATTCTCCATACAGTACCGATACCAGGGAAGAACTCCCACATAAAATGGACAGGGTACTCATTGGAAATTTTGAAAAGATCTTGTCAGAGGTATCAAGATCCTGTTTTGTGGGTGTTGCTTGAAATTCTTTTTCACCCCCAAGAGGCACCAATTCTAAAACACCTTGTATAAACTGACACTTTCATAATTTTCAATAGCGATAAATCAGTTGATTGTCAAATATCTCATATCTTTTCCGCTCAATACCCTAAAAGGTACCGTGAAAGCTGCTGCTGTGGACCTTTTTTGGCTGAACACCCTGAAAGGTACCAAAACCACTTTTTTAATCCCTAAAAGGTATGACAAGCATCCCCGACCTTTTGTATGGGAGTCCTCCCCCCCCCCAGGACCAATGCATGATCAAACAGACAGGTAATAATAAAATACAAAACCATCAATTAGAAGAAATTATAATGATAGGTGTAGCAGTGAATTATACTACTATATGCTAAATAACAAACAGATAATTAAAGGGGACTCACTCAAATTGTATTCCAACCCAAGTGCTTGTTGAACTTCAATCAACAGAGGTTTCGTTATCTTGTTATAATGCTTCTGCCACATGTCACTTTCTATGAATTCTCTCTGGTACTGTTCCAGTTTGGGACAAAGACTGCAAAGAAGAACATTAGTTTTAGTCCATACTATTGCGCAATAAAATCATACCCCAGGGAGGATTCCATATGAACTTGTTGGAGATGCTGATTGTCTTGCTTAGGGCTACAAATCAAGGATTCTGATCTCACCTAGGGTGTCCATGACAAAATGCCACTATTTTTAGCTGTCAACTTAAAGTATCTTTTAGAGAGTACACTCAAAGAAATAACAATAACAAAAATGCCCTTATTTACATTTTTAAACTCGATTTCTGCCAATCTCTCAAGTCTGGTCTATGAGCGCAAGCTGCTCTCTTGAACAGCAGCTGATAATCTAGCCTATTCCGTTAAATTAAGTGGTGTCTTTTAAGGGTCAAATAAAGCTCAAGCTATGCCAGATTGGTCTCTTTTAGGGGTTTAATTCAAATTTTCTGTCGAGCATACCCAACCTTTTCATATACTATAGGAGTCCTTCCCTGGGAATCATCCGTTGCTCTGAGACTAGCATATCAAAAGAAATCACACAGTCCATACATAGATACTTAAACTACAATCAGTTATTTGTCGTGTAAAACTGTCGTGAATCATGTCAGCAAAACTTACCGTGGATTTGGCTCAATGTCATCATAATCTTTGTCCATGACATTAATATCAACCACTTGTGACTTGCCTGAGGATGGGGAGGATAGTGGAAACAGCCCTAATGCTAGAGCTTGAGCAGACTGAAATGAAAAAACCAAAAAAACCAATTGATCAGAAAGAACGTAAATCAACAAAACCGTTTCCTGCATGTTCAGTTGCTCAGTTACTACTGCTGTTGGCATCATTGTTGTCATTTAAATTGTCATCAGATAAATTATTTGCAAAAAATTTTGGACGTTAAAATTTCAGAGGTTTAATTTCAGACACTTCTCACAGTATCTCATAATTTTGGGACAAATTTCAGACACTGTGATAACACATAGCTAAAGCAATTTTATGCCTAGAAAACACAAATTAGACTGAGAAAACATTTGTGGAAAAAGAGAGTTTTTTACTGCACCAGTAATGTTTTAGAGATATACCGTGGAGAAAATAACACAAATGCTATCAAGCCAAATGTTACATATCTCAAGTAGTGTCTCCACTGGAGTTCGCCTCATAAGGGAAACTAGGAGTTTTGGAGCTACTTTAAAATTTTAAAAATTTCGGAAGCTTCAAATTTCAGATGCTTAAAAATTTCAGACAGTTTTATTTTCGGACACTTTTTGGATCCAAAATCAAAATCGTCCAAAATTTTTGGCAAGTAATGTACTTCTTTATTCCAACAACAAATTTACATTGTACATATCATCTGTTCTGGCATTAACAAGTTGCCAAAAGCCAACCGGCATATTTTTACCAAAATTCTGAAGAACAAAATTTCTGATTAATATTGATTGGTCACATAAAAATATTGAACGATTGGGTTTCAACCACATACAAATTACTGAAGTTTACAAAACCATCAATTGGCTTCAGGTTTGTCTCTTGGATGAAATAACCTTCATGGAGGTTTAATGTTATTGAAGAAACAGTTCATCACTTTTATGTACAGCAGCAAAGCTTTGAAATACAACTGACCTGTCTTGTCCTTGACATATCTTTGAATTGTAGAGAAATAGGAAAGAAACAACATAAACAATCAGTATAAATGCATAGCAAGTAAGATAGATGGTCAGTCAGTGATTAAGCCAAGTGGCCTGCCAAGCAAGGAATTATCAATTTTCTCCTGTTTACAGAGCATAATGCAACTAGCAACATCCCTACTCTCCCCTGGATGGGATGCTTAGTCTAATGTAGGGTTACCCCCCCTCCCCCCCAACAGCATTGACTTCACCAGTAACCATTTATATACACCTAGGTGGAGAAAGGCAATGTAAAAAAGTAAATGCCTAAACCAAAAACACAATTTTCACAATCATCCTAGCCACAGCTTGATCACAGAAAGTTTAGTCCTGAGCCCAGTGACAACATGTGTGCATGTACAGTACCATAGAGAAATAGTATCTAGAAACATTCCAATTGTAGAAAAATTGTTTTTTAAAACTCAATTGCCTGCACAGGACCCCTGGTGTGGGTGGAGAGGATCAGGGACAAAATTGACATACATAGATACTTTTTTTACAGAAAGCAGTTTTTTATTATGATTACACACAATAATAAACTGCTCTTGGTTAAAAAAAAAATCCATATATATATTTGTTTCCTTCACACCATCTAGTCAAGAATACATGTATATCCTACTTCTGAATCCATGTCAGAAATTCAGTACAATGGAACCCCGCCCTAGGACCACCCTGTTAGTACGGTCACCTTGTTATTACGGCTACTTTATTCTGGCCCGAAAAAAAGCTCAGTCAGTCATTTTCTTATTTACAGAACCCCTTTAACACGGCCACCCCTTTAAAACGGCCAGATTTTTGCAGCCCGTTGGTGACCGCATTAACAGGATTCCACTGTAATAGACTGTTATCTTAAACATGCCAGAACATAACTGCTCAAAAAATTAAAAAAACAGATTAATTTTAGAGCCAAAATAAAATATGTTTTTTGGGGGATTTCCCTCAAAACTAGTTGACATATTTTGCTGTTACCATTTCAGTCTCTCTGTCAATGCAGAGTCTAACTTGGGACCCTTTCAGAGATATTCCCAAGACTGTTTCAGAAGACTGAAACCCAGCAACGCTATACCTCAACAATTGAGATTGAATAAACATTCACTACACGACAAATTAAGGAATTTCAACAATACCATGAGTAAAATTACTCACCATCTGTTCGAAAGAAGACTTCATGACTGGAATAGTTGGGAGAAAGGAACCCTGTCTCAACATATACTGTGTGCAAATTCTGTCCATTTACTAACTGCTGTTTATAGCCCTTAAATGTAAGATGACCCAAGCCACAATCACCGTTTATGTCATTACGGCCTGGCATGTACACTGCAAATAAGCCAATGTGTAAACAAGGATTAATGATTTCCTTTTAAACTTGCACCTACAAAAAAAAACAATGTAAGTGAAAATTATATAAATTGTACAGTTCCAGAAAATATCCATACTCCCCTCCCTCCCCAAGGAAGTTTAATGGATAATTCCAAGGGGAAGGTAGGTTCAAAAGACAAAATCCTAAAGGAAAGTATGAACTAGGCCAGAATTTCCAGGCGGGGGGGTCAAACCAAAAATCTTTTGTCAGAGGGGTATGGATATTTTCTAGAACAAAACATTATACCATCTCTGTATATCCTGTCCACTGTGATATCATGGGTGTCGTGCTTCACAACCGGTAGAGAAGCTGATGTCAACAGACAATCCCATACAGCTGTGTCATTAGGCCAACAAGGGGTCGCACCAGCTCTTGTCCTGTCACCATGTCTGAAACAAAAGACACTCTTATTTCAGATTAATTCTCCTAACAGATCATTATACTTTGCTTTTAATGTTATTTTAGAGAATGTGGTGGTAGACATGCAAAGGAAATCATTTCTGATAGCCTGGTGTGAGTGAATGCCTTGCACGAAATTGGTTGTTTGCACCCTGACGTAGATCAAGACAAACTGAAAGCAATGACTCAAATCTATCCAAGTTCAACCTGCACTCACAAAGAGTTGAAAAACTTAAACCACCACAAACATTGTAGGAAAACCAGTACTTTTGTCTATGAAAGGGTCATAGATCCCCTGAGATGCATATATGGTCTGTTTAATTAAAGCAGTTGTCAGCTTTTGTTCCCCAAAGGGTTCCTAACACACCCCTGTCTTGTCTATTGAGAAACTTGATTGAATCCTTGTGCGAGAGAAAAGGCCACGACCTAAATTATGTAGGTTATAACTGTGATAAAATGAACCGCTACATGTTTAATCTGAGCTACAATAACAACTAAGTCTTGCAGCATTTTTCCAACAGAGTCACGATATATTAAAAACATTTCTAAACATACTTCTTAGCACGTTTAAGAGCGTTTAATCACGATTCTCTCCACAAATTTACTGCTTTTAAGTTTAGCGAGATGAGTTCAAATCCACACAGTTACAAAGTTGATCAAAGAAATAAGCCCAAGCATAACTACTTCCTCCGAATTCCAAAAATCGTGAAAAAAAATCTACCTTATGATGACGTGAACTTGTTTAAGTGTATATTCTTGTCCTTTGGGGCCTTTTATAAGCGGAGTATAGCTATAGGAATCCTTTCCACAATACTCAAGTAGAGATTCTTTAGCATGACAGCTGAAAAAATACAGGCTTAGCACGAGGAAAACTTCTGCAGACATTTCCGTGAGTCCTTCAAGTCTTTTGTCCTCGAGATGAAGGTGAACTGGGGCGAGAAAATTATCTTGTGCTTTGTCTTCCTCGCCCAGAATAACCGAGTAAAAAAACCTGGACTCGAAGAAAAATTGAAACTGGAAAGGAATTGCAGGATAACGAAACAGACGGTTCATAAAAAGAAGCATAAAAAATCCCTTAACTGGTTCGATGAGGCTTGGCGGCAGCAAAAAAATAGTGTTACCACAGATTTTTTGACAGTAAGTATTTTTCCTCAGTTTCGGGGAGTTTACCTACAACACTTATACAATACCGGTACGCGGTTTGAAAAATAATAATTTGAGGTGAAGGCGGTCGCACTGTTTCTTGTCTAGAGTTACTTCAGCACAAGTCTATCTTTTCTTTGTACGCAATTAAGTGTGTTTTAATTCAAAATCACAAAAGCGGCGTGTGACTCTCAGTTCGCTTGCGTGGCAGTCATCGTTATTTTTTGCTTGTTTGTTTGTCTGTTTGTTTGTTTGTTTGTTTGTTTGTTTGTTTGTTTTGGTTTAATCGAAAACAAAATCCACACCAGCGATAATTTGAGCCTCGGGTGTCGTATTGACGTGCACTAGAAATTCGACAAACTGTGAAGAAACCATCACTATTTCCCAGGGAGAATATGTAAAATGCCCAATACAGGAGGGAGGCGGCCAATAAGAGAAAGTCTACTTTTTCTTGTGGAATGTTTAGTGACCAACGAATTCGCGAGTGTGAGTGAGCAGACGAGTGGAACACGCGCCCTCACGCGCGCTGCATCCATGCGCACGGGACAAGAGACGACAAGATCCCGCATCCCGCGAAGAGTCACTTGGCAGTGCAAATGATGTTAGGGAGCTCAAGTACGCCACCGCGAGAAAGGCAACGAGAACGACAATAAACAGTGTTTTGTACGGTAGAAGTTCTACTGCGTTAACTTTGTACTTTGTTTTTAAAATATTTTTTTTATTGACCGCTTTTATTTTACAGTTCAGTTGCAGCCTGTTTCTGAAAGCTGGTAGATAATAATTAAATCCATTTAGGTGGCGACATTCGCCAGGACTGACTGAAAACAATAATTTGTTTGTTTTTGTTCTTTTGTTCTTCTCGGCGTCATTGTCGTTGACATTACTGCTTCAAAATTTCCCTCACGGTTAGCGTATGCTGATCGGAAATTAATTTTATTGGACACTAAACTAAAGAATAGTAACAATAAAATGTTCCCAACTTCACCCAATTTGACGCTTTACCCAATACACACGTGTGACTCTACCTCAGAACTGAAATGAGAAAGAGGTTACACGAAACCAGCCGGAAACCACAGGATTAAAGAAATATTATATCACTCTTTAGACACGCTATAGTCAATCTCTGTAATTTTTCAAAGGAACTCAAAGCCAATTGGTAAATGAGTTTTAATGCAAATTATGCGGACCTGTACAGTTACAGATTATCTTTATGTTAAATTTTTATCAAAGTTTTAATACATCAGGTTGCCGAGTCGCCACAATTATGGAGGTAATATGTTCTAAGCAGTTACAATCTTTGTAGGCCAGTTTCCCATTTTCTATATGAAACAGAAGACAAATTCCATTCATTTTAGTTTGCGACCGTTTTACTGTAGGTAGACTTCATTATAATTACTGCACTCTCTTATGATCAAATGATTGATCGATTCGTTTACTAAATTTGCCAGCTTGCTGCAAACGGCAATCTCAACGCCCTCTGTTTTAAATTTAATTGTTCAAGAAAGGGAATAAGTTTTAAAACTGGGAATTATCAACTCCGGTGGTCCATATTATAAACAAACTGCAAAAAAATGATGCTTCAAAAGTATGCGTTTAAGCTCTCTCGGCTGCATTGCGAGAACTAACCACTTTTATTAGTCAGTGATAACTTATGCCTACAGAAGCAGTCGGTAAATCGCGACACAACCACGGGCAATTAAAATTAAGTCAGGCACAAAACACATCTGTAGTGCATTGAAGTTTTTAAATATCAGTTATCGTGGTTAATTCTAAGAGGCCACAACAGCGTTTGAAAGCCGGAATGATGTCGACAAAAAACCGTATGTTTGCAATAACTGAAGAAGTGTGCCGCCAAATCGATCAAGTAAGCTCTCCACAGATAAACCTGGATAAACTTGATCAGATTGTTCAGCAGAAACTGATAGCTGTTGTAAAGAAAGGTCTCTAATCGTATCAGATATTCGGGTTAAAGTGTGATGAGAAACTTAAGTTTTCTTTAGCGGAATGTCGCCTCTCGGGGGGGGGGGGGTGCTCCCTAATTATGGGTCATATAGGTATGTGCGGCCCCAAATGGTATGGCTTTTGACCGATTTTGGTAGAAAAAGGATATAGATTGGGACCATTTCGGTCTGAAATAGGGTGTCTTTCACTCTGGAATGGCATTGGGTATTTTTCACAAGGAACTATTTTTTTCCACATCAACATTGCGAAATGTGTAGTCCTTATCAAATGTTACCGTTAATGACAGCCAATTCTAGTGAGCTGTGGCTAATTTTAGAGGTCTGAAATGCATGGATTATGGAGTTTTCACTGAGGTGTGAAATAGGGTATGGAAATCAGTTCACAGATATTGGTCTGGAATACGGGTATAGGTTTCAAGGCTCGAGTCGCACAGCCCCACCAAAAACTTTAGGGAGTAACCCCCCCCCCCCCCCGCCCTTCTGGTCACCTCTAACTTTCATGATGTGTTTACAAACTGGAAGCATGCTGTTTTCAGAGGAACAAAAAATGTCTTTGGCATGAAAACTTCTTTTAAAGAGGTACGAGGTAACAGCTAACGCGTAAAACAAATACAAAATTTCATGTGCAATGCCCAATTTTTTTTCCCAGTTGCTTAAATTGGAAAATTTACTGCGATCATCATTCTTCACTTTTATTTTAACGTCTGCCCATATCAACGTTAAATCTGAAAGAAATATTTGATTTTGTCTGTGCACTTACCTGAGTACATGCAACGTCTTGAGACTTAAGCGTGAAAGAATTATTTTACGACAGCTCACGCAACGATTTAAAAAATATATCAAAATACCATGTAATTTTACTGCAACTCTTGAAAACTGCAAACCTCAGGAAAGAGCCTTTTAAGCAATAAAAGCTAAACGCTTTTATTTTCGGTAGTTTGTTCTATAAAAAAACTGGGGAGCCATGAACGCCTCCAAACGTGCTCGCGACGAAAACGAAAAGTGTCTTAGAGCACTTTTTATCCTTCAGACACAACTTTTCAGCATTAATTCAGCAGACAATAGATCAAAAAACCCAATTTCCTATGAACAAGCCACTAGGTTTAAAATAGCAAAAAAAAATTCCTAAAAAACTCTGCGGCTTCCGTTTTGGCGCAGGTCAATTTATCACCAACGGCTTAAAACTCTCGAAAATGGCTCGACAAAAATTCCCCCTCGCCCAACACAATACGTTGCGGTTTAAATAGATTTTGGTAAAGTGAAACACGGGGAACGTTGAAAGATGCTTTGCCGAGTTTGATAACCATCGACTTGATGGAGTCTCTAAAAGGATTGGATAAACAACTCTGCCGCTAGTTACCGGAGCATCACGAATCGCGACGCAACCGAAAACCAACGTAGCTTTGAGCAGATTTCTTAGCTGAATAGCCTCTAAACGGCTTGTTGACCCTACAGAGCACGAGAAAATTCCTCCAAGAACGCGGCAGCGCTAATTTTGCGGAGAACACAATCCGATGTCTGCTTTATAGTTTTCGCGGAATCCGCTTGACCGAGATCGCATGCCAATATGCGAAACTCCAGGTTGGTGGTCTGTCCGCTCGTGTGACAGTCGTTTAGCAGTAGTTAGTAAGCCATGGAACCCTCGAAAGTGCTAAATAATCTCGCACGCTTCAGAAAACGAAGGTAAAGACACACTCGGGCGAAGACGACAAGAACACAAGCCCTCTATCCACCTTTACGCTAAATAAACGTTTGTCTAACATCTCTGTAAATCGCCTCCCTATCCAAACAGTGTCAGTGGAAATGAAAACAAAGGAGCCTCTCTTATCTTATCTCTTAACTGCAATTATGTAGGTCTTCAGGTTTTGCCACGCCAAGCGAGACGAAATGCGATCTGCTAATTAAATTTTCAAGCTGCGGAACTACACATCTTGAGAAGCAACTTTATGCCTCCTTCATCAAGACATCATGTTGACACATTGCAGAATCTGAGGAAATGAACTGTCCAATAACGTGTCTGCCCTTTCTGTAAAAACCCCCTCGGTCTTAAACGCACTCCAGACCTTACGATTGTCGAGATAAGGAGCTAAAAGGCAGAAATTATCGGCACATCAAGAGAATTGGGAACTGATCACGGAGCACTTGCGAGAAAACAGAACTGCGGGTTTTTCTTGGCACGATCGCGTCCTTGACCAGGGAACTGTTCCAAACATGCTGCAGGCAAGCCATGGGATGAGTATTCCAGCTTTAGTCCCCCCTTGCTTTGAAGAGCCGAGTTACGGGATTAACACAAACTCGTCTAGGCCACCGCCGTTTACGATGTGTCAACCACATGCCTCTGGACCGAGCTCTGTTGTCCCATCTGCGCGGGTTCTCCAAGAGGTCTTGTATTCCAACGAGATGAATTTCCCCAGCTACATGCCTGATATGCCAAACAACCAAGGCTTGCCTCTCCCATGGATGTCTTCGTGGCACCAGAGGCAGAATTTGCCGTATCTTGGCCATCCTCACCCAGGTAAAAATAATTTGGTACTTGAAATCCTGCCTACACGCGTTGAGCAAATCTGTTTTCAGTTGATCGTAAGCGCGGCTCAAACAGACATGTTGTACTCATTTGACGCTCTTCAAAAACTTATCAATTCATTTGAACTCGAAATGCTCCTTAATAGTTGTCGTGGTTTTATTTATGTGTTGTTAAAACTTCTTAGCGTATTTGCATAGGTCTAGCAGTATGTTTGTTTACTTTTGCCTTACGCTAGGACTACCCAAGTTAAACAACACTGGTGTAAATTAGCGTTGGAAATGGCACGCGCGAAACATACATGGCGCGCGGGGTGAACAAATAACCAAGTTAACACTCGCAAATATTCAATTCAGCTCTATCTCGTCATGATCATAAAATAGCGAACGCATCCGTTTAACCTCCAATAAAACTGGCCATTGATGGGTATATTAGTCAGTGGTGGACGACAGAGAGATAGCGCAATTGTAAACTAGCGTCAAAGAAATCGTTAGAAAATTATGTAAAACACCGATAGCGGCGAGATGGATTCTTCTCGGCGGGTATAACAAATTGTTAACAGACCTGATTGATTGCTTCATCAAAATATCACGCGCTAGAATTGAGCAATTATCGTGAATAGAAATAAAATGAAGTCATCTTCGTAGCGCTCCAAAAACATTATCATAGCTAAGAAGGTCTTTAACAGAAGCGAATTGTCTTGTCCCAAAGGGTCGACATCGGAAATTGAGCCTTGTCTTCTTGTTTGTTTCATCAAGTTATCTGACAAGAAATCTTTCGTCTGTATTTCTAAATGCCAGCGCATATCTCCCTTTTTGCCATGTATAGGGCTCACTTACCGGTAATGATTTGAGCAAGTTTACAAAACCCAACACATATTTGACGTGTTTACCAACCGAGTGTGGAATTGAAAGTCGTCTGTAAATTCTCAATTTTAACAACAAGAAAACTTTGTGACCCTCAAATATCTGTGCTTCGTCGATAAAATAGCCAGTTCAGTCATACAAAGAATTAGTAGTTCTACAATCTCTCGAGCGGTTGAACTTCAAGAGCAGAAGTCGCTGGAATCCGCCCTCAGAAACCTCAACTATTAACTGAAACGTTTAACAATTCCTGACCGGAAAAAGAAAGTAAACAACTTGTTTCCTGGTTTGAGATAACTCAGCACTTAAACGTAAAGTACCATAAAAATAATGGGGCATAAACCATGCAACCCTTTTGCGAACCAGTGACCGCGCGCAAACTGAGCTGAAAAAAATCTTCAGTCAAGGCTGATAAAAGGTCAACGCATTTCAAGTACTTTTTTTTCTGCCATCAGAGCGTGCCTGACTGGAGAAAGTTGCCCCTTTTTTAACGTCAGGGAACTGAACCTTTTATTTATTTACTTGTGTTTTATTTTTCCAAAGGTGATTATTACCCTTATGGAGCAGACTTCGGAGAAATCGATGATCCGGGCATGTACCCACCCAAAAAGAAACGGGCGCGTACTACATTTTCAGCGGAACAGCTCAAGCGACTGGAAAAACGATTCCTTGGAAATCACTATATTGTTGGAGAAGAAAGACAGAAAATCGCCAAGGAATTGGACTTGTCCGAGGCGCAGGTAAAAGTTTGGTTTCAAAACCGAAGAATAAAATTTAAGCGAGACGAGGAATTAGAAAAGTTGGGGAAAAGCAAAAAAAGAAAAGGCGAACACCATGTACGAAAATGGCAGTTAACGACGCGCCATTTTGGACCCGAAACTGGTGTGCTATTCCACGCCGATTACGATAATACCTCTAGAAAACATAATTAGAATCAATTTGTACTTTAGAGCACTTTATGAGATAAGCAGAGATGCGCTGAAGGCTAGAGGTAAAATTAGTTAATGCCGAACTGAACTGTACCGCGGTAATTTCTTTTCCATTCGCGCTAGTTAAAGACTGGCGTGACGAAATTATGCTGTGTAAGCACTTGCTTTTCACCGCATTGATGTCAAATTGTTCGCTTATTGCGGCACAATACTTCATCAATCGGTTTATCTATTTTTCTAGTAGTGCGCACATAAGAGTTTATTAAAGGCTGGAAGAAAACTTCATTTAGTCCGATTAGCCGACTTTTAGAACATCTGTAACAACTTTTATAATGAGCAAATGCTTAAGTAATGTTTTCAGGAGATGTCAAGGTATTTGGTATTATTAACGACTTTTTAAGGCGAGCAGATTAACACGCTACACTGATGCGATAGGGACTATAAAAACAGCTTTTTTCCGTATGGACTTCCCGGATAATACGCGATAATGATAACTAATTACATCATGCAATACGCCTCCGTATCTCACGCCACTAAAGGCAACTGCAGAATAATCGTTTGATTACTAAGATCATTCCATCAGACTCTTACACTAAATGGCCGTATTTAGCTTGATAAATCCGTGCTTAAGGTCTAACTTGTACATAGTTAAGTATTTTCTAGTGAGCCTCAATGGCTGTATGAAGCACTAGTGCTTTTTCACTCGAGATGTACATAACAATAATGGTATTGCGTGATCGCATTATACCGCTTGACGCAACATCCATGTTATTTATAACAATAATGTTTACTCTTCAAATAAATAGTTTATAGAAAATTATGGCCTCGTTGTATCTCTTTATTAAACACCAAAGTAGCTGATTCTACGCTAGGCAAAATCGTTGGGCGTTGCCAGTTTTGCCAAATTAAAAGGTGGTGGAAAAGATTGACTCTTTCCTGAATCATTAACGACAAAGCATTGCCTCCAATTTCTCAGCTATGAAACTTCTATGGGTGTTTGTAACATCTAAGGGTAACATCTCATAAATCGAAACATATTTGTTTACTTTATCTCAAATGACTCGCGGCTTCTTTACTGTCCGTGCCAGATAACATTCAGCTGCACTTGAAACTATTGTGTTTATAAAACCTTGTTAGAACAACCGAAAAAAACCTCGGATAGAAATATTTCAAGCTGTAGGGACCAAATTTTCTAACTACCTATGAACCAATTTGGAGAAGGGTTTTCATGCTTATTGTAAACACACGATGAATATTTTAGATTTCGCTGTTTTTATCTACAACGCTGATTTGCCCTAAGTGAACTTCTAACCGATAGCGATCAAGTTATCTAGGGAATGTTGCCATGTAATATGGATATATTCTTCTTGCAAGCAATTTCTATTTGCTACGTGTGTTCTCACGCATTCCAGTTTGTTCGCATGGAATCTGTTTTTCTACGACGCAAAAAATGGGAGAAAAAACGCATAATTCGGTCACCCGTTGCCATCGAAGTTAATCTGCGTTCGCTCAAGACACACCTAAATATTTGCCTCAAGAATTTTTTTTGGAGACAAGAGAAGTTACCCGCATGGAAAACACGATAAGTTTTTAATCCTGAAGTCCTTTGGCAACGTATAACATTACGGTCTTATCTCTAAGATCCAAACTAGGTAATCTGGAAGGAGACAATTTCCGACATGACAGATGGGTATGAGTGAGGGCTTCTGGCTGAAATCTCTTGTGATATCTGTTCGTGATCAGTCAAAGTCAGCGAAACTTAATTAGAAAGAATTACATCTCTCGGTGCTAAGAACTTATTAGAACTTAAAAGAACATTAGCTCCCAATAAAACTTTGAAATGTTTCGCAAAAGAAGTTCTCTCTTTTGCAAAAGGGCATCAAAACAGTTTTTGGCGGCTTCTTGGCAAGCAAAAAGCTTTTCAACAGTCGATCATGTGAATCGCTTTATCTCCTTTCCTATTGGTCCGTCGTTTGAAGGAAACTCTCAGATAGCGAGAAAACGTTGCCACGCCTACTCACGTTTAATCAGTGTTTGTTTACGGGGTATTTTACAAGAACATCTATTTAACGAAATCATCGCCCTTTTCGCTCATAAGCTCTGAGTAACTACCAAATTTGGTCAGTTCAAATTCGAAATCATAATAATAGTTTCAGTCTTTGGCTGGAAATAATATGTTCCAGTTTAGAATTTTCCCACACTCTAAAATAGCTGAAGGCATTTATGGGTCAAATGGCTTGACAGAGTGTGCAAGTTTGCAGCGCTGATAACGAATTTTATATGCATTTAGCTACTGTTTTGCCGGCACTAAAAAAAGTAACCGGGAATTACCAAGTGATATTTTTAAATGTCGACTTCTATTGAATTAACCTATGTAGCTGGCAAGAACTTAGTAGAAATGTTCAGAACGCACTTCAGTCGCTCAGTGAATCAAGATGTTTCGTTGCTTAAGCAAGACATAAGGTTTCTATCTTCAACAAGACTCGTACCCCTTGCTGTCGATGAAGTATTGTTGTAAGGCAAAGGAAACGCTTGAGGCGATAATAAACGTTTTAAAAACCGTTTTAGGAAATGATTAGGGCGACCTAGGTGAAAGCCTTCCTTCGTTCAACTACAGTCAAAATGACGCAGTTACGGTTTTGGAGGTCAGAAAAGTCGCGCTATAGCGAATTGTTTTTGGCGTATAATTGTACTCTCCAGAAATAATTTGTAAGATATGCAGGGCAATGAGTAATAATCCCCAATATCTGTCAGCTTCACTAACAAATCAGCGATATCCATTTATAACACCTGAGTGAGGAGAGCAATTATGGGAGCAAATTTTCGTGACCAAGAAGACAACACGAGAGCTATCACTAATACTAAACAGACCGAAAATCTTGACCTTTAATTCTTGAACACAACCAGCGTTCAGCAGAGCTATAGTATAACATGCTTTTTTCTTAGGTTAAGAGTTTCAGAATCTTTGTCACGTATATTTTCGCCTTGTAAGCTGGGGGTGTTAAGACGTTTAAAGCAGTAATTGACACAAATTGATAGAAAGAATTAGAGTTTACCCCCCCCGCCCTTCTGGTCACCTCTAACTTTCATGATGTGTTTACAAACTGGAAGCATGCTGTTTTCAGAGGAACAAAAAATGTCTTTGGCATGAAAACTTCTTTTAAAGAGGTACGAGGTAACAGCTAACGCGTAAAACAAATACAAAATTTCATGTGCAATGCCCAATTTTTTTTCCCAGTTGCTTAAATTGGAAAATTTACTGCGATCATCATTCTTCACTTTTATTTTAACGTCTGCCCATATCAACGTTAAATCTGAAAGAAATATTTGATTTTGTCTGTGCACTTACCTGAGTACATGCAACGTCTTGAGACTTAAGCGTGAAAGAATTATTTTACGACAGCTCACGCAACGATTTAAAAAATATATCAAAATACCATGTAATTTTACTGCAACTCTTGAAAACTGCAAACCTCAGGAAAGAGCCTTTTAAGCAATAAAAGCTAAACGCTTTTATTTTCGGTAGTTTGTTCTATAAAAAAACTGGGGAGCCATGAACGCCTCCAAACGTGCTCGCGACGAAAACGAAAAGTGTCTTAGAGCACTTTTTATCCTTCAGACACAACTTTTCAGCATTAATTCAGCAGACAATAGATCAAAAAACCCAATTTCCTATGAACAAGCCACTAGGTTTAAAATAGCAAAAAAAAATTCCTAAAAAACTCTGCGGCTTCCGTTTTGGCGCAGGTCAATTTATCACCAACGGCTTAAAACTCTCGAAAATGGCTCGACAAAAATTCCCCCTCGCCCAACACAATACGTTGCGGTTTAAATAGATTTTGGTAAAGTGAAACACGGGGAACGTTGAAAGATGCTTTGCCGAGTTTGATAACCATCGACTTGATGGAGTCTCTAAAAGGATTGGATAAACAACTCTGCCGCTAGTTACCGGAGCATCACGAATCGCGACGCAACCGAAAACCAACGTAGCTTTGAGCAGATTTCTTAGCTGAATAGCCTCTAAACGGCTTGTTGACCCTACAGAGCACGAGAAAATTCCTCCAAGAACGCGGCAGCGCTAATTTTGCGGAGAACACAATCCGATGTCTGCTTTATAGTTTTCGCGGAATCCGCTTGACCGAGATCGCATGCCAATATGCGAAACTCCAGGTTGGTGGTCTGTCCGCTCGTGTGACAGTCGTTTAGCAGTAGTTAGTAAGCCATGGAACCCTCGAAAGTGCTAAATAATCTCGCACGCTTCAGAAAACGAAGGTAAAGACACACTCGGGCGAAGACGACAAGAACACAAGCCCTCTATCCACCTTTACGCTAAATAAACGTTTGTCTAACATCTCTGTAAATCGCCTCCCTATCCAAACAGTGTCAGTGGAAATGAAAACAAAGGAGCCTCTCTTATCTTATCTCTTAACTGCAATTATGTAGGTCTTCAGGTTTTGCCACGCCAAGCGAGACGAAATGCGATCTGCTAATTAAATTTTCAAGCTGCGGAACTACACATCTTGAGAAGCAACTTTATGCCTCCTTCATCAAGACATCATGTTGACACATTGCAGAATCTGAGGAAATGAACTGTCCAATAACGTGTCTGCCCTTTCTGTAAAAACCCCCTCGGTCTTAAACGCACTCCAGACCTTACGATTGTCGAGATAAGGAGCTAAAAGGCAGAAATTATCGGCACATCAAGAGAATTGGGAACTGATCACGGAGCACTTGCGAGAAAACAGAACTGCGGGTTTTTCTTGGCACGATCGCGTCCTTGACCAGGGAACTGTTCCAAACATGCTGCAGGCAAGCCATGGGATGAGTATTCCAGCTTTAGTCCCCCCTTGCTTTGAAGAGCCGAGTTACGGGATTAACACAAACTCGTCTAGGCCACCGCCGTTTACGATGTGTCAACCACATGCCTCTGGACCGAGCTCTGTTGTCCCATCTGCGCGGGTTCTCCAAGAGGTCTTGTATTCCAACGAGATGAATTTCCCCAGCTACATGCCTGATATGCCAAACAACCAAGGCTTGCCTCTCCCATGGATGTCTTCGTGGCACCAGAGGCAGAATTTGCCGTATCTTGGCCATCCTCACCCAGGTAAAAATAATTTGGTACTTGAAATCCTGCCTACACGCGTTGAGCAAATCTGTTTTCAGTTGATCGTAAGCGCGGCTCAAACAGACATGTTGTACTCATTTGACGCTCTTCAAAAACTTATCAATTCATTTGAACTCGAAATGCTCCTTAATAGTTGTCGTGGTTTTATTTATGTGTTGTTAAAACTTCTTAGCGTATTTGCATAGGTCTAGCAGTATGTTTGTTTACTTTTGCCTTACGCTAGGACTACCCAAGTTAAACAACACTGGTGTAAATTAGCGTTGGAAATGGCACGCGCGAAACATACATGGCGCGCGGGGTGAACAAATAACCAAGTTAACACTCGCAAATATTCAATTCAGCTCTATCTCGTCATGATCATAAAATAGCGAACGCATCCGTTTAACCTCCAATAAAACTGGCCATTGATGGGTATATTAGTCAGTGGTGGACGACAGAGAGATAGCGCAATTGTAAACTAGCGTCAAAGAAATCGTTAGAAAATTATGTAAAACACCGATAGCGGCGAGATGGATTCTTCTCGGCGGGTATAACAAATTGTTAACAGACCTGATTGATTGCTTCATCAAAATATCACGCGCTAGAATTGAGCAATTATCGTGAATAGAAATAAAATGAAGTCATCTTCGTAGCGCTCCAAAAACATTATCATAGCTAAGAAGGTCTTTAACAGAAGCGAATTGTCTTGTCCC